GTGGTACCTAGACAGTGGATGTTCTAGACATATGACAGGAGATCCAAGCATATTCGCTGATCTACACAGTCTGAATGGTGGGAAAGTTTCCTTTGGAGGAAATACCAAAGGAAAAATCATTGGCAAAGGAACAGTTGAAATTGGAGGACTTACAATCAATGATGTCTCTTTGGTGAAAGGACTCAACTACAACTTGATAAGCATAAGCCAACTATGTGATACAGGTTTCAGAATCAACTTTCAAGAATATACATGCTCAGGGACAAGCAAAGATTCTTCTCAAACATTTACAGGAAGAAGACATGGCAATATCTATCTTCTAGATGTCAATCCAAACTCCACTCATTGCTTGATCTCAATCAAAGAGGATGAAGATCTATGGCATAGAAGATTGGGGCATATCAGTATGAAACAAATCTCAAAGATCTCAAACAAGAAACTGGTTCGAGGTCTACCAGATTTGAAATACAAGAAAACAGAGTTATGCAATGCCTGCACTCTAGGAAAACAAGTAAGAAGTTCTTTCAAGTCTATTCATCATGTTTCCACTGATCGTGCTTTGCAGCTTCTTCATATGGACCTATTTGGACCAACCAGAACATAAAGTATTGGTGGTAAGAAATATTGTTTAGTCATTGTTGATGACTTCACAAGATTTACTTGGGTGTTCTTTCTTGCTCATAAAAATGAAGCATTTTCATATTTTTCAAAATTTGCAAAAAGAGTTCAGAATGAAATGGGCTATTCCATTTCTTGCATTAAAACTGATCATGGGGGAGAATTTGAAAATCAAAGTTTTTCAGATTTTTGTGAGGAAAATGGCTTTCAACACAATTTTTCTACTCCTTATACACCAGAACAAAATGGTATTGTGGAAAGGAAAAATCATTCTTTGCAAGAAATGGCAAGAACTCTGCTGATTGAAAGCAAAATTCCTTTTTATTTCTGGGAAGATGCAGTTTTTACAGCATGCTATATCATTAACAGAGCTTTTCTTAGACCCATTCTTGAAAAAACCCCTATGAGCTTTACAAAGGTAGAAAGCCCAACATTTCATATTTTCGTGTGTTTGGTTGTAAATGCTATATTCTGAAAAATCCAAATGACCGCACTGGAAAGTTTGATGAGAAAGCAGATGAAGGATTTTTCCTTGGATACTCTACTTCAAGTAAAGCATACAGAGTCTACAACAAGAACTCTCAGACTGTTGAAGAATCAATGAATGTGAGGTTTGAAGAAAACATTCAGACTCACAGAGATGAATCTGAACCATCTCCCAACATTCAAGAATTATCAGAAGATCATCAACAATCAGTATCAGAAGGAAAAGAAGGAAAAGAAGATATAATACAGACTCAACCAGAAAGTTCAGAGTCTGCAGATTTTCAGAAGGAAAGATTTGACAAAAACTGGAAACATAAATCCAGTCATTCGAAGAACCTCATCATTGGAGAAATAGAAGATGGCATCAAGACAAGATCCAAACACAAAGAGAACATCAGCAACTTGGCATTGATATCAGAAATAGAACCAAAAGAAGTTGGTGAAGCTTTATCAGATGAAAGCTGCATCGATGCTATGCAGGAGGAACTTCAGCAGTTCAGAATCAATAAAGTATGGGAGCTTGTGCCAAGACCCAAAAATCATCCAGTAATTGGAACAAAATGGGTATTCAGAAACAAACTGGATGACAAAGGGAAAGTTACAAGAAACAAAGCAAGACTGGTTGCAAAAGGCTATTCTCAAGAAGAAGGCATAGATTATGATGAAACATATGCACCAGTTGCAAGGTTAGAAGCCATTCGGCTACTATTAGCTTATGCTTGTTTCCATAACTTTAAATTGTTTCAGATGGACGTGAAAAGTGCCTTTCTAAATGGATATATCAAAGAAGAAGTATATGTGGAACAACCACCTGGTTTCGAAGAACCAAGAAAGACTGATCATGTCTACAGACTCAAGAAGGCTCTTTACGGTCTGAAACAAGAACCCAGAGCTTGGTACGAAAGGTGAAGTAACTTCCTTCTGCAAAATGGTTTTACCAAAGGTAAGGTTGATATAACTTTATTTGTTAAGAAAAAGGGTAAGGATTTCCTACTTGTTCAAATTTATGTTGATGATATAATCTTTGGATCCTCTAACGAATTGCTATGCAAGGAATTCTCATAGAATATGCAGAACGAGTTCGAGATGAGTATGATGGGAGAATTATCATTCTTTCTTGGCCTTCAAGTGAAACAAACCAAAGATGGTACATTCATTTGCCAAGAGAAGTATGCAAAGGAGATTATCAAGAAGTTTAGATTACAGAATTGCAAGAAGACAGACATTCCCATGTCTCATTCATCCAAACTGGACAAAGATGAAAATGGTAAAAAGGTTGATCAGAAGGTATATAGAAGCATGATAGGTTCATTATTGTATCTAACTGCATCTAGACCTGACATTCTTTTTAGTGTCTGTATGTGTGCGAGATTTCAATCAGACCCAAAGGAATCTCATTTTTCTGCAGTAAAGAGAATAATCAAATACATTGGAACATATCCAATGTTAGGTCTTTGGTATTCCAAAGATTCAAATTTTACTCTTACTGGATATTCTGATGCTGATTTAGCTGGATGTAAAGTGGACAGGAAAAGTACTTCAGGTACATGTCAACTGCTTGGAAATATGTTGGCATCCTGGTACTCAAAGAAGCAAAATACAGTTGCACTTTCTATAGCAGAAGCAGAATATGTAGCATTGGGAAGTTGCTGTGCACAAATTCTGTGGATGAAACAGCAATTACAAGACTTTGATATTGAAGAATCAAGTGTTGCAATCAAATGCGACAACACAAGTGCAATCAATTTGACAAAGAACCCGATTCTTCATTCTCGAGCTAAGCATATTGAAATCAAGCATCACTTTATTCGAGATCATGTTCAAAATGGTGATGTAAATATTCAATTCATTGATTCTAAGAATCAATTAGCTGATATATTTACAAAACCTCTTGATAAATCTTCATTTGAATTCATAAGAGAGAAACTGTGCATCACTTATCCATTTTCTTGAAGTGTTTGATAGATAGGAATTTTTCAGACTCAAATATTCTTAGTCTGAACATTTTTCAAACTCACAAAGAAAGGTACGTTCCTTATTCAAATTTTGGCGGGTATATATTAGACATTTTTTTCAGGATATTTTTATAAATCGTTATTTTTGGAAGCAAATCAGGTATGTCTTCTACTTTATCTAATAAAATGTGCTTAATATATTGTTATAATATCATCATGTTTGGTTAAGTTTTAAAGAGTATATTTTCTTCCTACTTGGTTGGGATATCTTTTTAATTTCTATAAGTAATTTTTTTTTTCCAAAAGATATCCACCTCCTTTTTAAACCCGTCCTTCTCTTTTCAAAACCCTATCAGTACGATCTTTTACTCTCCAAACCCTTCCGATATTCAGAGACTCTCCTCTTCTTCCTCCAAAAGATCGAATCTTTCGTCTCCAAAGGTGATCATAATGCCGGTCAAGATGGTGGCCCATAGAAGATCTTCTCGTATTCTCAATCAAGACTCAAAATCTACCGCACCGGCGGAATATTTGGAAGTTTCAGACTCAGAATCCGATCATCCTGCAGACCCTTCTGAAGAGTCAACACCTCAGCGACCGTCTCCATCGAAATCATCTGGTAAAACTGATTTTCGGTTCATAAACATTAAACGTGTGTGGGGAAATTATCAAATGTTGAAAAGGAATAATGCCTCTGAGTCGGCTCTTCGTGCTTGTCTGAAAGACAACGATCTTCGCTCTAAAACTCACCTTGTGAAAATCTATTCTGAATACTGCACTAAATCAGGGCAAGTTCCAACCAGCTCTACTCCACAAGAAACTTCCTCCAGAAAGGGCAAAGAAAAAGTTGGAGAAGCTTCAACTCCATCTGAAAAGAAATCGGTTCATGTAAGCCCTAAGTCATCTAGTACATCAAAATTTGTTGTTCCTGATGATGATGCACGATTTTTTGAGACTTTTGAGATAAAAGTGGGAATAGCATCTGGCTTGCCTAGAACAGGAGGCTTATTCAGAAGCACTGCGCATCAGATGTACTACAAGTTGTTACTTGCTAGAGGAGTAATGAACAATAGGACTGTGGATTTCGAATATCTGGAGAAGGCTGGAATTTCTGTACAGAACCTGTTTGAAAAATTAGGGGTTTATGAATTTTGCCTTCAATCTGCCGATACTTATACTGAATTAACTGCCTACTTTTATTCCAATCTTTCAATTCTGTCACCAAATTGGATACAGTTTACTGTTGGTGACAAGAAGGTTGATTTAAAGGCGCATGAGTTGGCAAGGATAATTGGAGCCACACACTCCACTTTTACTCCGTTGGCAGTAAATCTTGAAGAAGCTTCACAGGTAGCTTCTGAAAATCTGAACTTTGCTCAAGGATCCAAGCATCATCTCTCATATTCTGACTTATCAAGACGATCTGTGATCTTGCATAAGATCATAATAAACTGTTTGAAGCCAAAAGATGCCTCAAAAACTGACCTATCAAAATAAGAGATTAAGCTCATTTGGGCTATATTGAAAGGTCAATCCTTCTCTCTCCTCATCTCATCATATTCCATATGTACAGAGCATTACAGAAGGATAAGGGTCATCTGCCATATGGAGCTTTAATCACTCGTATCTTCATGTATCTCAATATATCTATTCCTGGTGAGTTGCGAGAAACTATGCTTCCTCTTATGTTTGTTGGAGAAAAACTGCTCTCCAAAATGAAGAAATTTGAAGATGTAAGGGACATAGTAAAAGGAAAATAGGCTCAAAAGTCAGAGGCAAAATCTGTTGGCAAGAAAGTTCAGAAAGAAAAGGAGCAAAGGAAAAGAACCAGTTCAGCCAGAAAACAAACTGATTCTCCAACCCCAATCAAAGTGTACAGAAAGAAAAGAAAAAACTCTTCTGCATGATGAAAATGATGAAGCAGAAGCTGAACACTTTGAATCAGGTCACACTGCGGAAACCAGAACATGTTCCTGAACCAGTTCCCAATGTTTCAGAACCAATTCATGAAGAACATGTTTCTGAAGTTCAATCACCTGTTCAGGGGGAGATTCCACCAGAATCAGCCACAAGGTACAATCAGTCTGAGGAAGCTAATGACCAAGGTCAGCCATCCAAAAATCAGAACATCCTTTCTATTCTGCTCGAGATTAAAGACAAGCAGGCTGCTCTAGAACAAAATATGTAGAATCTATAGAAAATTGTTGAGGAAAACACCAAGGCTCAACAACTTCAAGTAGCAGCAGATAAAGCAGAATTAGAGGAAGCCATTACTATGTGCTCATCCAGCATGGATAAGGCCATAGGTCAATGCAGTTTGAAGATTGAGGAGGCTGTCTCAATATTGGAAAATTTTCAACTGATTCATACTCCTAAAAAATAGCCTGTTTTTCAACATTTCTCTCTATCTTTTTTCAATTGGTATGTAATATATCTCATACTTGTTGTTAGACTGGTTGATTTCTTAATCTCAGTGCATTATTCTATCCATTATTATTATTTTTGTTGATGACAGAAAGGGGGAGATATTATATTGCAGATTTACAGGTTATTCTCAAAGGAAGAAAGACACAGATATCAACAAAGTTTGCTCTTTCAATCTGTGTTTATTGAGCTTAATATGTTTATTTATTTTCAAAATAATTCAATCTGCAAAGAAAGTTTTGTTACCATAAAAAAGGGGGAGATTGTTGAGGAAAACTCCTATTGATTTTGAAGTTGACAAAACCTTCTATGTTATTGTAAATCTGATTTTGAAGTTGACATAGCCATCCAGAAGTAACCCAGTCTCATGATTTTTCTGGCCAAAAGATGACCGTTCATGTGCGGACCGCATTCGCCCTCATATATTTCTCTCATCAACTGATTAGATTCTTTGGCATCAACACATTTAAGCAAAATTGAGTCGAAGGACCTCTTGTAAAGAGCATTGCCATTGATGAAGAATTTCGATGCTAGCTTCCTTATGTATTTCCGATCCGCTAGTTCACTTCCAGGAGGGTATTCACCCTTTTGAAGATAGTTCATGATGTCTTGATACCACAGCTTCTCATCAGGTTCATCCGCGATTGCCGAACAGTAAGCCGGACGTGTCAGTATTTCGATTTTCAGTGGCTCGATGTCTAACCCTTCCATGACTTGTAGCATTGATGATAAAGTGGCCAGGGCGTCGGCGAACTGATTCTGCGATCGGGGTAAATACTCAAAAGAAATTTCCTCAAACTCTATTATTAAACTCTCAAGGAATTCGTGGTAGGGGATCAATTTGGTGTCATGAGTTCGCCATTGACCCTCTGTCTGAAGAATGATGAGGGTCGAATCGCCGTAGACTTGCAGATTTCTAACTTTCATGTCGACGGCTAATTGCAATCCAAGTATGCGAGCCTCGTATTCTGAGATATTGTTGGTACAAAGGAATACCAACTTGGCGGCCACAGGGTGATGTTGACCCGTCGGGGAGATAAGAACTGCCCCAGTCCCAGAACCAGCCGGGTTAACGGCACCGTCGAAGTACATAGTCCATTTATCACTCACTATTTCTGAAATGCGCTCTTCTATGGGATTTGACTGATCATGGTCTTCTGAGCTTTCGACGTTTTCTGCCAGCATGTCAGCTATGGCTCTTCCCTTGACGGATTTCTGCGCCATGCTGTTGACGTCGAATTCGGACACCAGAACTTGCCACTTTGCTAACTTTCCGACCAACACAGGTTTTTTTAGCAAGTATTTGATAGGATCATTCTTAGTTACAAGCAGAATCCGATGATGGAGTGTGTATTAGCGTAAGCAGTGTAACACCCATACCAAAGCCACACACGTTTTCTCAACTCTGGGGTAATTTATTTCGGATGAAGTAAACTTCTTACTGAGATAGTATATTGCACATTCTTTGTTATCACTTGGTCTCTTTTGAGCTAGCAAGGCTCCCAACGATTCATCATGAATAGTCAAATAGAGTATCAATGGTACTCTAGGGACAGGTGGCACTAGAACCGGCAGATGAGAGATGTATTGTTTTATTTCCTCAAAGGCCTTTTGACAGTCGGTATCCCACTTGACTTTGGCGTTCTTTTTCAGGAGCTTGAAGAAAGGTTTAGCCGTCTCAGACAATTGAGAAATAAATCTCGCCACATGGTTCAGTCTTCCTAGCAAACTTTGAACCTCTTTGATAGTTGAAGGAGGTTTCAAATCACAAATGGCCTTAACCTTTGACGAGTCAATTTCAATGCCTCGACTACTGACCATGAACCCCAATAGTTTCCTAGACTTTGCCCCAAACACGCATTTGGTGGGGTTAAGTCTTAGCTTGAACCTTCGGAGTCGGTCAAACAGCTTCCGCAATACCTCGATGTGGTCCTCTCCATGTTTGGATTTGGCAATCATGTCGTCTACGTAGACCTCCACCTCCTTATACATCATATCGTGAAACAGGTTGACCATTGCTTTATGGTATATTGCCCCGGCATTTTTCAAGCCGAAAGGCATTACCTTGTAACAAAAGGTCCCCCATGGGATAATGAAGGAGGTCTTACTTTTATCTTCCTCTTTCATCTGAATTTGATTGTAACCAGAAAATCCATCCATAAAGGAGAATAGTTCAAACCCCGCGGTGCTGTCGACCAGCACATCGATGTGAGGCAACGGGAAGTCATCCTTTAGACTTGCTCGATTTAGATCGCGATAGTCAATACAAACCCTGACCCGACCATCCTTCTTCATGACAGGGACGACATTGGCGGTCCAATCAGTATAGTGCGATACTTCTATGAAGTCCACTTTCAATAACTTCATGACTTCTTCTTCGATTTTCTTGGATAATTCGGGCTTTGTTCTTCCGAGCCTCTGTTTCTTAGGCGGGATACTTGGATCAGTGGGGAGAGCATGCTCTACAATTTCTCTATCTAACCCCGGTATATCCGCATACGACCATGCGAACACATTTTGGTATTCTTTTAAAAGGTCGACCATCCTTCTGGCCTTGATTTCAGAAATGCCAGCTCCAATCTTGATTTCTCTAACATTCTCCGAATCGCCCAAATTTATTGTGATTGTAGGCTCCGTAGTCAACGGCTTAGACTCTTCATGCCGAATCCAATCTCGTTCGATACTTTTCCGATCGCAGTCATCCTTGTCATCATCAGACCCAGAGGAATTTTCGTCAAGCAAATCCGACTCACATATATACCTATCATGTGAAATATCATGCCTGAGATGCCTCGAAAAAGGTTAGTAATTAAATTGGTAAATGTTATTGCAACTAATGATATGCATCTGTTTTGAAAGGGTTTTCAACATTGAAAATGAGGGATCCGTCCTCATATCCTCGGACATCCCTACTAGGAAGCTTGTGGAAGTTCAGGCTTCAAAGCATCATCATCAGTCTGGTTTGGGTACTTCCACACGTCCTTAATAAAACATGATCATAATTCCATTAACAAGATAAGGCCGTTTATATGACTCGAGGTCTTGGACCGACAGCTCGCAGTCTAAGACTTTGATTACAAAGAAAAACGACACCTAGACCTAAACAGATTTCCCATAGAAGGGATAAACATAGACTTAAACAAGACGAAACAGGAAAGAAAAGCAGCATCCCTACTCAAAAGGGTTAGCGGTGGTAGCAGAGGGCTTGGCCTCTTCATCTTCCAAGATAGCGCAGGCAATTTCTCCCTCGAATAAGTCAACTAGGCCAAGAACAACCTCCTCCTCTTGCAACAGCTTGGGTGGACCCGGGAATATCTCTTTTAATTTCGGAAGAAGTAAGCCCTTCTGACCTTTCCCTAATCCAAATAAATTTCCACGACCTCCGCAACCTCCACGAGTAGCTAGGTCTCCATAGTCACCACGGTCTTCATTGCCTCCTTGGCCACCATGATTAATTTGGCCTCCACGGCCACTGCGGCCTTCATGATTACCTCGATCTCCGAAATTGCTTCGTCCTCCATGGTTATCTCGGCCACTAACATCGCCTCCATGATAATCTAGGCATGTCCTTTTGCGCCACTTGGAGACCTGAAGAGGTTCTTTGATACCTTGGCCACGCGATCCCAGGCTGGTTCCGGGGACATGGCCATTTTCAAGCAATACCCTGCTCGACATGATTGAAGGCTTAGCCATTTCAGGGTTTCGCATAATAATTTCGACGGGCACATGGACCATCGAGACTAACTCCAAAGTCTGATAGCTCGATTCAGCCTTGTTCCGAGGACATGGCCATTTTGACCTTTTGATGCAAGCTGGAAGGTATAGCTCTGGCGGTGTGTATCCAGGGTCGTCCCAATAGAAAATTGAAGGCACTAGGAATATCCAAGACTTGGAAGTTGACCAGAAAAAAGATTGGACCAATTAGCAGTTCAAGTTCAACCTCACCAATAACTTCTTTCTTCATACTGTCAAAAGCATGAACGGTAGATTGAGATACCAAAATTTTCTCTTCGTTCACTCCCAGACAACGAAGGGTGGCAAGTGAGCGAATGTTTAATGCAGACCCATTGTCAATTAGTACTCTCGCCACCATTCTATCACGACACTTAACCGAGATAAGTAGCGCCTTAGTATGATTGCGACCTTCCGGTGGAAAATCTTCATCGGCGAAAGAAATCTGATCTTTTAGCAGGATAGACCCAATAAACTCCTCCAACTGGGTGTCATTGATAGTTTCAGGAACGTGCACTTCATTTAGAACCTTGAGCAGTGCATTTTTATGTTTTTCGGAGGATTTGAAAAGATCCAGAAGTGATATCTGGACCGGCATCTTCCTCAACTGATTGACAACATCAAACTCGCTAGTCTTAATAATTGCTAAAAACTGCTCAGCCTCTTCACTTGAAACAGCCCTTTTCTCAACCACCTTGGTGGGATCATAGCATTGACCAGAGCGAGTAACAGCATCAATTTCATTCACCTTGTAGCTCCAAGGGACTGCCTTAGGATCATAACTAGGGGCCATATCCACTATTATGTCTTCTTCGTCCTCGAGCGGGAGTTCAATCGCCATCGGTTTCATGGCATAATCCTCGATTTCTAAAGTAGCAAACTCTTCGCATGTAAGGTCAATGACCACATGCTCAACATCTCGTTCATCGGGATCTTCTTCGATCGACTGGTCAATGACCACAGGGGTGATCATGTTGACCATCTCCCCCTCGGGCTTAAGTGGATCGTCCATACCTCCCCATCCATCAGGAACAACATCTTTGGGATCGATGAAGAAACTCGACGGAGGTGAATACTTTACAAGATAGTCGAATTTGCCGCTAGGTTGACCCAGTGTGTCAACCACTTCCCTATTCTCATGGGCGATCTTCAAGAATTCATAGTTCCAATCTACATTGCTAGCTTGAGGACAATAATCATCATATGAATTCTCTCCTTCACTGTCAATTATAGTTAGGTCTTCCGACGCGCCATCATTAGTCGGTTCGTTAGTTTCCGTAAGCTCGACAGGTGTCTCTGCCGAGTCCTTTTCACAACATGAGTCAATAACAGCTGCCAGGGTCATCGTACCATCTTCCTTCATACTATAGATTACGCTAATGTCCACCATCCGAGTGATACATTTCAGCTTATCTTCCATCGAAATATCCTCCTCATCTTCGAAGTGTCTAGCTGACACTAATAGCTTATACAGTTTATGAACATCTATCTTAAAGGTTTGCTTACTCTCATTGCCCTTCTCTGTAACTACGTTGATATTCTCAGCATGATTAGGCAACGGATTTTGTTGGATATTAGGGGGTGGATCCTTAAAGGATAAAATGCCATTGTCGAGTAAATTCTGAACTTTGTTATTGAGAGTGAAGCAGTTATCTACATCATGACCCTTCTCGCCTCTATGGAACTCGCAAGACTTTGACAAGTCGAACCTAGGGAATTTTGGAGGATTATCCTGAGGTACTTCTTTGGCTATCTTTCCCCTTCTCAACAGCATGTGCAACAACTTGGATAAAGGTCTAGGCAAAGGAGTGAATTGCCTTGGCACCTTCTTTTTGAATTCATAACTCTGATATGCCCTCTCTCGAAACACAGACGGGCCTTGAGAGGATGAGGCAAGAGGCCTTGTCACAATCGGCGCTTGTACATACGCGATCTTTACCTCCTTTTCTTTTCTATTCGGGATCTTCCGATTAGCCCCTTCGTTCAATCTACCATCATGCATGGCTCCCCCTACCCTTTCTCCGACGTCTACCAACTGAGAGAAGGTCAAGCATCCAGAACCCACTAACTTCAAATAGAAATCATTAGGTAAGGCATTGAGGAAGAGATCCAATAGCTCCTTTTCATTGAGCGGAGGACGGACTTGAGCGGTGAGAGTGCACCATCTTTGAGCAAAAGCTCTAAAGGACTCACTTCTTTTCTTTTCAGTTCGAGTCAGCACTTCACGTGTGGGAGCTATCTCGGTGTTGTATTTATATTGCAGGACGAACGCTTCGGCCAACTCCTCCCATTTCTCGAACTTCTCGGGCTCCGACAACACATACCATTGCAAAGCAGGCCCCGTTAAACTCTCTTGAAAAGTCTAGATCATTAATGGGACATTCTGGGCATATCTCGCCATTCGATTCAAATAGTACTTCAAGTGAATCTTTGGGTCTTCGGTCCCATCATATTTAGTAAAGTCGGGGATCTTAAACTTCTCGGGAAAGCTCATTTGTGCATATCGAGACAGATCCTCGATCATGTGCTTTTCATATCTGCGTAGCGCACGGAGTTTTTCTTCTATCTTTGCAAACCTCTTGTTGTGCTCTTCCTCCAAACGGGTCGTGATGGCTTCCGAAATGGGGTCTAGTTCGACCACTACGGGTGTAGAACCCAATGCCTCCTCAGTAACATTCCTTCTCGTAGGCCCTTCTACGGGCTTGGGAACAGCTTGAGGTGCAGCTTGACCGACATTTGGTGCTGCCAACGCGGCCTTCATATCATTAGCGAACCGAGTGAGCTGAGCCGTAAGATCATTGATCTTGTCGTCGAGAACGGCAAAACGGGTATTTTGCTCCTCGATATTCATCTGTGCGGCTCTTGATCGGGTTCAAGTCGGCGATTGCCTCAAAGCCGTAGCTTTGACTTAGTGGAGGAAAGGAGTGTTGGCGGGTCGTTAGATTCGGCGTGGACACAGTGATTGCCAGAAGGTTTCACTCTCCAGCCTCTTGATTTCTCGATTCCTCTCTTCACGTGTTGAATGAGCTCAAATACAGACAATTTGTGATCACTTGAATCATAAATAAACGAGCATACATAAGTGCATGATTCATATAGAAGACCGGTCTGTGACAATGGTCTAGCCGCTTTCATTGATTCCTAAACTCGAAAAGCGAACTAGAAATTGAAAACTAAAAGACCCTAAACATCAAGTTAATAAAACTAAGAAAAGAAAGAAAGGAAAATAAAATCCTAAGACAAATGAACTTAGAAAAGGAACGACTAGATCTAAAACAACAAACTCGACCCATTTTACTCCTCTTGTTCTATATGCGAATGGGAAGCCAGTACTCGACGCAATTGCCTATTCTCCTTATCAACACGTTTTAGACTTCCTTCAGCTTTCTCTGCCCTCCTCTTGAGATAGTTGATTTCTGCTTGGCGAGTTGGCTTCTCTGTCACATCCGGGATCTTTGAGAGGAACTCGATCGGGATCTTATGCCGACGGATGTATTGGGTCGTGGCATAGTATGCCTTTTCCTTCCCTTCGAGCTTGTCTTTAGGCCAATTTAGCTTTTGAGCACGGCAGTCGAGCTAGGCTTGTTCAACACGGCGAAGCGCTCCTTTGTAATCTTCTTCCTTTCTAAAAAATCGAATTTGAAATGAATCCAGTTTGAGAGGGGGCGGTAGATCTTGGACAACTCGATATTGGCGGGCCACTCGGAGTGGGTGGTAGGAGGTGATGCCAGTAATTCCCAACAACGGGATCGGTTCATTATCGCCATGAGAGAGACATGCCTCGCAAAGTCGGAACCATTTAGCTTGCCATAGGAAAACCTTAGTTTTTGGATATTTCAACAAATTCACCCATTTTGAGAAAGAAAGGTTCGGGGTTCGATCTTGATGACTCTTAAATGCCTGAATAGGGTGATTAGTCTTACTAATGTCACTAATGCTCATGTGAATACCGAACCTACATATATGGGAAAAAATACCAGATTTGGAGAAGTTCGACAGGAGTACGAAAAACCTTTTCTTCGTTTTCTTTAAATCGGGCGAGCGACAAAAAAGTTTTGACCAAAATAGTGTTGATAAAACTAACTCCACCACATATTTATCTGACCACCCACGTGAGAGCATGATCGATAGCATTCTTACGAAAGGGAAATATTATGAACCCAAAGAAAGCTAGAAGAAAGATATTTCCTTTTAAAAGAGGTGCAGCATCCACAAAACATTGACCTAGAAGGAGAGTGGGCATGCATGACAATTATCTTTTAGCACTCTTCCTATTTGGTTCTTATTCATCCTAAGAAAGTCAGATAAAATCGATTCCGGCTCTATCCCAAGGGGTGGATCGATTAATTCCAAGTCCAAAGGTTTTCCTATGGCAACGCTATATTCTTCCAAAGTCGGAGTCAACTCATGCTTATCGAATATGATCGTGGATGTTTACGGACACCAGAAATGAGCTGTTGCCTGCATGACTCCACTTTGGATGTCAATGTCGTGGAGAGGCAAAAGTCAACCAAGTTTGTTCTCTACATAGGCTCGGCCCTCACGATCCAATTGATCCTACCAATGCTTGAGTTCGGCCTTCAGAGTAGGAATGAATCGAATGTCGGATCTTCCCATTGCATATAGACCAAGACTCGACCAACCAAACTATCATGGACCAGCCAAAGCATAAAGGCAAGTAAATTGCAAAAGTAAAGGGTATGAAACTTACTTCACCAAACAATCATGTCAACCACATAGACATGTGCATGAAACGTGCGGCTCGACTTAACAAATCGGAGCTACAAGGGCGGGATGACTAGTCGCGGCCTCGTGAACTAAGCCAAGTCCTCGTGACTTCGGCTCAGTCAAGAATGATACCCCGATGCGACGCGGCCTCGCGGGCAAAGGTAAACATTCTTGACACCAAGAAAGAAGCTTTCGGAATTGAGTTGGGCAACCTCTACTACGCGGCCTCGCGG